TWTRWWAWWWYTTAAACAAGTTATTTCTTAGGTGATGGAATTACAATTAAATTTTAYGCTAAGAAAATCAATCACCATTTCACTTGAAACTTTATTGTATGTGTGCCTGTTCTGCCTTCTATATCTTCTCACTTTGAGTTTTGAAAAGCTCTCGGTCCACCATGATTTGAATGACAGCCTGTGGTTGACACTAGTGCTGGACATCTGTTTCCAGGTTTCCCCTGTTTTGTCTGTGTGATTACAAAAAATCCCACAGTTAACATTGTTGCACTTGATATTGAATTTTCTTTTAGTATATTCTACTATAAAAGCAATATGTCCATTGTAGAAAGCTTCATGAAGAGCAAAACTAGAGAACTTCTTTGAATCAATACTGAATCTATCTATTCAATAGCCATTTCAGCACTCACCAGATAGCAGACACTACTCCAGATGTGAAACCTGCTCTTCAGAGTCAAAACCCTACTGTATAAGTGACAGATCTTGTTAGTGCCCTGTATTCAGCAATGTGTATGCTTTTAATAAAGGGACTATGCTATTGAATAGTTATATCATAATCTGGTTTCTTTCCTATAACATTAAGAACTTCCCTGTCATTGAACTTTTAAAATATCATGTTTAATTAATGACAAGAAATTATTTGTGTGAATATTCAATAGTTTAATCTCCTAGAGTCAGATGCAAATTTTTTCCAGTTCCTTTTTTCACATAAAATCCATAACATTCTTTGCTTCTCTTCAATAGTTTAACTAATGTGACCTCCCCAAGACATGAAGGCATAGTCAGTGCTGTCTTTCTCATACCATCTGAATGGACTACGAGGTAACTGCTTTTGTAATACAAGTGCTAGTTATTTGTATCATTAGTTAGGAACATGAACACAAAATGCAAAGTGGCTATAGATGGTGCATTCCTAATCTAAAACCTTTTTGCACTGACATGATGGTACAATGTAAATTTCCACACCTAACCTTTACAGGTCAGTAAAATGCAGGTGCACTGAAAATATTGTATAAAATTACATCAGACTGTGCATATGGTGTATGCAAAACATTGTGTGTTTACGCCTGGGTCCCATTACAGTTATGTATGTGTAAATATTCTAAATCTGAAAAAATCTGAAACATTTCTGGTCCCAAGCATTTTTGGATGAGGAACATTCAGTCTATATTTTCTCTGTAGCATTGTGAACTTTCCTAAATGATGATTCAATAAAAAACAGGGAACAGGCTAGAAATCTGCAGAAAGATTAAAAATCATACTCTTTAGTCTACTCTAAGTAAGGGTCTRTCTAATTTGTTATCTGCTACTAGAAATAAAATCACTAGAATATCAAGGATGTGTGTGTGGTGGATGCATGGGTGTCTACAATTGAGTCACATCCCAGTCCTTTATTTTTTTCAGTACTGAGGTTTGAATTCAGGACTAGTTTACTTGGTMACTTTTTTATTTTTTGAGACAGGGTACATCTAARTTACTAAGGCTGGCCTCAAACTTGTGATTCTCCTGCCTCAGCCTCCCAAGTTGCTGGAATTACAGGTGTGTGCCACTGCTCCTTGTTAATTGATTTTTCTAAGTGGAAATATGGTACTTACTATTTGTCAGGAGGCATTATGAGCTTTCTAGGTTCTGTGATAGGCATTTTTAATTATCCAATGAAATATTAGGTATGGTGAGCAATTAGGGAGATTAATTATCAATCCTTTTCTTTCTCAAAACCTCTCTAGCTTTCTACAGAGAACTAGCTCTTTGAGGAAGAAAAGTGGAACATGGCAGAGTGGAAAGAGCCCCAGAGGAGTGGGCAGAGAAAAAAGACTTTGTGGCAAAGTCCCTGAGCACCCAATTCTTCCATCTTGGGTGCCCTTGACCAAAGTTCAAAGGAATATACTCTATTGTCCACAAAACAAGGCTTTTTCCCACCTTAATATAGACTCCTCAGAGAAACACAAGATCTATTTTAACTATTTTGTGAATTGGTCAAAGGAGCTATATGATCTTTTGAGTGATATGGAGTGTCTAGCTATGTTTTCTTTGCAAAGACCTTCTGTTATTAGTAGAAATTGACAACTGAAATTAATAGAAAAATGATAAACATGTAAATGAAGATTAGAATTCCAAATTTATATCTAGAGTAATTTCCCTCAATTCTGCTTTTACTCTCTCATAGGATATCTTCAGAGTTGTCCCAAAGTCGAAATAAGTCACTTCATTTCTCCTTTTGGATTTCTCCTTCCCATGTCCTCCCCTACTTGAGAATAGTATACAAATATTTCTGGCAGATTATTGGATCCAGCATTGTTTTCTACATACTCCAAATATTTTAAGATCCAACCAAGTTGTTTGTTTCCACTATTAGATCCCTCTGGCTATCTGGATAAACTAACTTATAGTTGTTACAGTAGGTGTTAAAAGTGACTATGTTCCAGGAATGAAAATCAACAGGAGTCTTTTAAAATTACATACACACACACACACACACACACACACACATACATACATATATTTTCCAGTACTAGAGCAGACCAGGATTGGTGGAAAGATGAGATTATTGATCAAGTGGGCAGCAGACTAGTGCACCCATGCTTTAGAAAGTTATCAATTCTCAGTTACATCAAATCAAACAAGACATTCAATGAAAATGGAAGAAACTCACAGAACTTCATGACTTGCTTCTAACMATCAGACAGGGTTTCTTTACAAGGTGGTCTGTTAATGATCAGGCTGCTGAGCTAGGAAATTTCTTCCAGATAGGCCTGACATAATCTTTGACAAGTTCCATCACTAATTCACTTCATTCAACCATCTCTGTTCTTGGTTTTAGATATTCTATTCAGTTTTCTTCAATCACCTTGGTAATATGAATGAGCAAATTGTCATTGGAAGATGTGATGAAGCTGCAATTCTTCCTTGCTCATTTGAGAGTGAGCTCAACATTGTAATTCACTGGAAGAATCAAGATAATCACAGTGTGCACAGTTACTACAAAAACGGTGACCAGGTGGAAAAACATCCCAAATATGCAAAAGGGACATCCCTCTTCCATAGTGAGATTCACAATGGGAATGCCTCTGTCTGAGAAGATTAAGCCTTCTGGATGAAGGAATTTATGTCTGCTATGTGGGAACAGAAACTGGGCATATCACAAACAAGGTGTTGCTTGAGATGGGAGGTGAGTGTTCATGTGAGGTTTTGTAAAACTCAACGACTTGATTCAATGATATTCTGAAAGGTTTTTTTTCCCCTAAATTAACATGCTAGGGGCTTTCTTTCAAGTCAATTTCTGCACATCTATCTCATTATCTTTTAATGCATGGTGTCTCATCGTTTAGATATAATTGACATAGCAATTTTCCCTATTGTTGGATATCCAGGGATTTCCAGTGCTTTTTTTCATGACAAAGGGTGTCATTAGGAACAACATCTTTATAGTTCTGTTTAATATTCTGAAATTATCTGAAAAGTAAGATTTTAATGTTACTGACATCAGCAGCATAAGAGTATCTATTTTCTTTTTAGTCCTATCAGCACTGAATATTATCAATCTTAAATATTTCTGCCAGTATGATGAATAAAGTACTGTTTTATTCAAATTAGATTTTTGTWATAAAATGAAGTTACCATATTGTACACTTTTTCTCTGTAATAACTATACTACACCTACATAGTCAACATATTGTTGCCCATTTTCATGGTTAAATTGACTCAAACAGATTCAATCTGAATTGAACAAAGTAAATGAAAAGCAAAGATTCATGTGTTTTAATTCTTATTTTAAGGATTATTGATGCTGTGGTCTATTATTGGGGCTTCTAATCATTCACACAGTATATTACAGGCATACTACAATATACTGCATACATTTCACTCTATTTTGTTTTTCAGATGTTACAGTTTTTCAAACTGAAGGTTCATAGCAACCTTGGATTGATGAAGCCTGTTGGCTCCATTTTTCCAAAAGCATGTACTCATTTCCTGTCTGCACATTTTGGTAAATTTTTCATTCTAAACTTTTATCATTGTATCTTGTTATGGTGATCCATGATCAGTGATCTTTGGTGTTACTATTGTGATTGTTCTGAGATCCTACAAAGCATGTCCCTATGAAGGTGATTCTAATTGGCCTATGCCATGCACTTTCTGATTGTTCCACCCACTGACCATTCTTATGTGTGTCTCCCTCTTTTGGACCTTCCTATGCCCTGTAACACAACAATCTTAAATTAGGCCCATGAATAACCCTACAGTGGCCTCTAAGTGTTCACATGAAAGGAAGAGTTGAATGTTTCTCACATTGTCTTTAGCTAGAAATAGTGAGAAAGGCATGTCAAAAGCCAAGATAGGCCTAAAGTCAGAACTCTATGACATACAGCTAAACTGTGAATGTAGATGGAAGGTTCTCAAGGGAAACTTGCCAGTGAAAGTATTATTCCAGTGAACATGCGGATAAGAAAGCAGAACTTCCTTCATGGCTGGTGTGAAGAGAGTTTTAATGGTCTGGATAGAAATCAAACCAACCACAACATTACTTTAAGCCAAAGTCTAATCCAAAACAAGGCCCTAACTCTCCAATTCTACTATGATTGAAAAAGTTAAGGAAGCTGCAGAAGAAAAGTTTGAAGCTTGCAAAAGTTTGAGGTTACAGGGGGAAAAATCTGTATCTATAGCATTAAAGTACAAAGGAAAATAAGTTTTTTAGAAGATCTAGCTAAGATCATTGATAAAGGTGGCCACACTGAACAACAGATTTTCAACACAGAGGAGACAGCCTTGTATTGCAAGAGGATGCCATCTAGAAATTTCATAGGTAGAGAGGAAAAATAACACCTGAATTCAAAGGACAGGATGATTCTCTTGGTGGGAGATAACACAGCTGAGGACTTGAGATGGAAATCAATGCTCATTTATCATTCCAAAAATCTTAGAGCCCGTAAGAATCATAGTAAATTTGTTCTTCTTGTACTTTATAAATGGAACAACCATACCTGGTTTCACATGCTTAAAAAATACTTTACCGAAAATATTAAGCCCACTGTTGAGAACTTCTCAGAAAAAAAAATCTATTTCAAATTCTTACCATTAAGGGGTTGGGGATTTAGTTCAGTAGCAGAGTGCGTGCTTAGCACTCACAAAGCCCTGAGTTCAATCTTCAGATCTGGGGTGGGGGTGGGGGGGACCTTACTATTCAGTGATGATATACCTTGTTACCCAAAAGCTCAGATGGAGTTTGTGCCAAAACAGGCCTAAACAGTCATGTTTTCATGACTGCTAATAAAATGTTCATTTAGTAGCCCATGAATCAAGGAGTAATTTTAACTTTCAAGTTTTATTATTTAAGGAATACATTCTGAAAGGCTATAGTTGCCATAGATAGTGATTTTTTTTTTTCTAGTCGATCTGGGAAAATGAAATTGGAAACCTTCTGGAAAGGAGTCATCATTTTAGATGTCTCAATCCAACAAGAAATTTAAGAGTACTACAGAAACATAAAGCAGCAGCAGGGTTTGAGAGGATTGACTCCAATTTTGAAACAAGTTCTATTGTGTGTGAAACTCTTTCAGAGCTTCACTTACTATAGAAAAATCTTTGGTGAAGGAAATCAATTGAGGAAGCAAACTTCATTGTTGTCTTACTTAAAGAAATAACCATAGTCACCCCATCCTTCAGCTACCACCACTCTGATCAGTCAGTGTCATCAATATTGACCCTTCGCCAGCTTGCTGATGTGATTGTTCTGGAGAGTATTAGCAATTTTAGTACTAAAGTATTTTTAATTGAGGTATGTACATTGTTTTTTTTGACATAATGCTATGCATACTTAAAACTGTGCTATAATGATAAAATAAAATTTATAAGTCTATGAAGCAAAAATATTCATGTGACTTGCTTTATTGTGATATTTACAGTGCTACAGTAGTCAGGAACTGAACTTAATATCTCCAAGGTATGCTTCCATATAATCTATAATAGTTAATAGCATTATATATTCTGGGTGTATTTTCTACCTAATAGGTTATTTTATCCACAACTAGTTCCTTTGCTTCATTTAGCTGCTTTATACCTTGACTCAGAAATCTAAGAATTATGTGTAAACAGAATCAAATAGGCTGGATAAGTATCTGAAGAGTTCAGAGTTGTGCATGAACTCTAGTTTATAGAGTCTGATGCCCACATTTTGCTTGCTCAATGAGACCTTCAGATTTCTTTGTCAGCTAAGATCCTAGAAAATAGAGATTGCCATTTTCTGTGTACCCATGCATGTTCTTTCTCATTCTTTCTGGATAAGGACACTATCTGAAAATTCTAGAGTTTTTGGTTTTCATTTCAGAAACTGCCAAGTTTTGCTCCTAAAAACTAGGTTTTCACTGCAAGGGCATTAAAGTGATTTCTGCACAGATGGTCTAAGAAGCTGATGGTGAGAGTCCTTCTGTGCCCTTCTTTCTCCTGCAAAGCTATCTTCGCACCTGTGATGCAGTATGAAAAGAGGAACACGAACAGCTTCCTGGTATGTAGTGTGTTAATTGTTTATCCTCTTTCACATATTATGTGGAGAATGGACAATGCAATAGGGAATAAATTGGGTATTGAGGTCCTTTATCACTTCATTCAATATCACAGGATCAAATTCATCTTATTAATGTGCTATTGAAAATTAATTGCTGATGCAAAGATGGACAGGGTGATGGAAGACTGATTGGAAGGTGGGTTTGTTGGACTTTCTGAGTACAAGTGCTATGTCACTGATTGGAAGGTCTTAGGGATAGCTTTTACAAAAAAATATATATCTGTGGCAATGCTAATATTTACTGGCTTCATTACTTTACATAATTATTCTAAAATCTGAGCCTAAGTTACTCATTGATGAAATTACCAGATGTTTTTTAGTCAAATGAAAATATTTGTGAAATGGAAAGTAGTAAATTTCTCCATGACTATTACTGTTTGTTGTTCATCCTCTAGGCAGGATTTTCTATGTGCATTTCACTTTAATGTGCAAAGGAAAAGGAAGGAATACTTGTCTCTTAGCAGCTTACAACCTCCAATTCTTCCCAATATTTCAATGACAACAAAAAACTAATGGTATTATTGCTTGTAATTTAATCTCTTACATAGAAGTTTGGGTAAAGATTAACTGACAAATACTATCACAGAATCAGGTTCCAACCCTTCTTTCCAAAGATTTGAACAAATGGAAACTCTGGTCGCTCTATAACCTGCTTATGAAAATATTAATGGGAAGAAAAATGACATGTCCCACTCCAATTCCAGAGAGAATTGCTTCATATTTTTAGAAGCAGAACAAAATTTTTTTCTGTCAATCTCTCCTATGTAGGAAGAGTGGAGGTTAGCTATTATTTTCAGATTTCTCTTCCCCAGGATTTCATAGTTTCAAAATATTTACCAACAAATTACAATATTATGAATGACTCATCACCTTTACCTGACTCTAGTGTTAAAGTCAGTCATTTAAAGTTCACTTGCCATCAGCCAGGCAGCTACAGAGACATGGGGGAAGGGTTGAAATGTTAATATTAAATTGTAAATTTTTTTGGAAAATATTCAATTCTGAATAAACATGAGAAATGACTATCTGAAGCCCTAGTTCTTTAAACTGAATATCAAGTGTCCTTGCTCTCAGACAGCTGAACGTTAACGTGAACTCATGCTCAATTTTGGATCCATGGCATCTTGTACAGATGTCTACTAATAAGACCAAACTGGGAATGTAGCACACAAAGGTTTTGGGTGTTTCTGCTCACTGTGGTGAGGTATGTGTGGAGTTGTTACAGAACACATATTTAAGGAAGTTGCACAAGGGCAGAATTTTAAGTGTGGTAGGAGATTCCAGGAGATCATAGACACTCCAAGTCAAAAGCATACAGGAGTAAAATTGCCTGGATTTGTGTTAAGTATGAGGTAGTTCAGGGTGAAACTAGGAGATCAAGGGGTAAACCTGGAGAGGGAGGCAAAAACACTTCTACACTTTTCTAAGGAGCCTGAAATAGATGGTCCTAGGTGTAGGATGAAGTCAAAAGAAGGATTTAAAAGCATCATTGATCTGAAATCCTGGATTTGTCTTTAAAACAATTTTTGCTGTAGCATCATTCTCACAGGTGGACTTCGAACCATGGAACAATCCATGGCACTTCATACAAGTCAGCCTACAGAGCAAGAATGACAGAATGGAACCAGAGAGGCAAGTCAATAATACCCTTTCTTTCTTTGTTTTTATTCAATAATACTCTTTCTAAAAGATCCCACTCCAATGTGGATTCCTTGTGCAGAGTTGGAAATGTAGTACGTATATGCACAAAAAGGAATTGTTCTAGATAGAGAAATWAGTAGTTGAGAACATAGAAGTACCAGGGACCACTAGGTAGTAGATAAAGTAACCAGAGGAGACCTGGGGAATAGCAGCATTTGAGAGGCTAATAGAAGAACACTGAATTAAATAGGCTAGTAAGAGGTATCAGCATTCCTCTGTGTTACTCTCTGGTCATACCCAGATGCATCATCTCCCCAGCTGGCCCAAGCTTAGCCCTCTTTGAAGGCCTAAAGTAACCTTGGACTAAAGAAAAGGACTAAAGAAACTTAGAATTGTGTCAGTAAAGCTTTTCTTTTTATGAAACTCTACAGCCACAAATACCCAATTGCTTTTCAAAAAGGTATTTCCAAATATATCAATATTACAACATTCATTCCCTGCTAAGTGTAACTTAGAAAGCTTGTTCAACAATTTTCTCTTCATTGATGTTTCTTTTCTTGTTCTGTTGTTAGATGGCTTTTGGAAAATGCAAAATGATCACATTTCACTTTTATGTCAAGTTATCAGTGATTTTTCTCTACTGAATCAAGACTTCAGAGTTCCATGGTCCAGAGTGGAAAGTGGGACTTCCTCTCTCCTGGCTTGCTCACAAAACACAATTATCAATGACCTTGATTCTCATAAATAAGTGACTTCTCTGACAGATCWTACCCCTTCAGACAGTACAGAATATTTGTGCACTATTTCTTCAAGTGAATAGACTTTACTCACCATCCACATGCTACCTGTAGGTAAGTTGCCAGTAGAGTTGGATAAAGGGTTTGGGGTATAGCAGTAGAGGTCTGAACAAGTGGAAAGTGGGCTGTCTTTTAAAGAATAGGTTAGTACTTCTCATTGTCACCTACAGGATTATTTCTGGTCCAGATCAGATAACTCTTCCTCCTCTGACCACATCAAAGTCTTGTATTTGGAAAAATAAAGTGCTCCCACAAGATTTCCTTTTCATGATTTCAGGGCTTCAGAAATGAAGAGAAACCCACACATATTGGTGACTGTGGGCTGAACATCTTTAATTCCTGCTCAGCACTACAGTGCTGCCTTAGGGCCTGGTTTTGGGAGTTGAGACTGTAAGCACAATAGAAAGTTGTGGAGCCCTGCTGGATGCTGGGAAAAAGTGGCATTGTCTTTTAACTTGGTTGAAAGTTCACACATTTGAAGCACTAAGTTATACCTGATTCAGCTCACTCTTCACCTCTGTTGATCGTTAACTGCCAAAACTAACTACTTAAAATGTATGTAGTCTCAGAGTCAGGGAATGTGTACTGTGAAGTTGTTTGGTCCCCATACCCATCATCTATCAGCTTGATATCAAGGGAGACCCTGGAAGATCTTTCTTCCCTTTAATAAGGAAATTTGAGTTAGCGGTACATGTTTTATAAATTTTTGTATCATTAAAGACATAAAAATTGGGAGAAATAAGAATTTTCCTCAGGTTATATGGTTTTCAGATAGAAATTTCCAGACACTGAGTGATAACACTTCCTTTGTAGAGCTGCCATTTTGACAGTATAGAATGAAAACCAGAATGCACTTAAAGTTCCTATRTTTCCTCAAAAGAAGAGTATTAGTATTATGTACAATACAGTTAAGGCTATATTCTATTTTTAAAACTGTTGTTTCATGTTGGATTCATTTTTGGAGTATAGAAAATATATAAGGAAGAAACTGTGTGAAGATCACATATGTCCCATCTTATTACCAGAGATCCAATTTTCAGTTCCATACAAAGTGAATCATCAGGATCTTTCTATCCCTGACCAAAGGGGCTTCTCAGAAACTCTCATTCCAAGTAAATTCTGGCCAGTGGGAACTTGTGGAAAGTTTCCCCATAATCTTCTAAGGAGATACCTATAACAGGAGCCACCCCAGCCAGACAAGAAAACAGGGTGAACAGTCTTGGTACCCTATCCATCAGCCTTTCAAGAAAACTTGATTTTCTGTTCTGAATTGCAATTTTCCATTTGCTATGCCTTGCCTGAGAAATGCTACCATATATAAAAATGAGGCCAAGATTTGGGGACACTTAGGATTCCTAGAGTACACATCTGCTCAATAAAAGTTGCACTGAACTAAGTATAATTAATAATCTTTCATAAATTTTGTTGTAGAATTCACATGTCTTTGTAGATGGGGGAACTGAGGGTCACTGATAAAGTGAGAGGCAGTTATATATTGCAGGCTTTTCTTCAGGAGGAAACATTGCTTATGAAGACACCTTGAGAATTCAGTCTAACATGTGTACTTGAGCTAGAATAGCTAGAGTAGTATTTATAAGGCTCTTAGTTTGATCACTAGCATTGGAAAAAAAATCTCTACTGAATCCTTTACTACAGTATTTAATTTCAGAATGACACAAATAGAATAGGTAGATGGTTTATAGCCAATAAAACAATTTATTAAATGTTCATAAAAATTAATGTTATGTAACTAGAGATATTCATTTTAATGAACAGCCCATAAACATTTTTCCACCCTGAACTAACCTTTGTGCTCTAATACTTAACTCCTCACTCTTTGGTAGAACATATACAAGATTAGCTGGGTTCTGGTCTCCAAATGTCTACCTTCAGAAATTTCTCCTTCAATGCCTATTACAATTCTAGTCCACAAGAGGATGGTGAAGTTCAGGCTCCTCTGGTTTTCCTGAGGAGCTCCAAGAACTATTAACCCAGTGATCATCTGTTGCTTCTCTCATTACCTTGAATTTACACAGTTCCCCTAAGATGCTGTCTTCCCCCAAGACAAGGGTGAACTGCATCTTTCCCTCATGGTTGAAGGAGAATTCTGGGCTGAGGTTAGTTTTCAGTCAGTTATCCTACTGTGATTTTAAAAAGTACTAATTCCCTTATTATATAGACAACAGAAACTTAAAATGCATCATTGACTCATTGCTTCTCAAGTTTTCAGACTCTTATAAACCCCACCCAAACTGGTTAATATTAGTGTCTGAAATGGAAATACTAATGGTCATGGGAAACTCCTGTCCAGCTTGGACTCTTAGCTTAATCTGAAGGGCCTTTTTATGATCCTTTTTTTTTTTTTTTTTAAATTCTGCCTCCTCTCTGGAGTACAAAAGTAAGTAGTTTTAAAAATAGTCAATATGCTCTACCCCCTCCCACCTACCCACATTTCTTATTTGGRAATTTTTCATGCAGTTCAGTCTTTGTTTTATTTAGAACCAAGCACAAGGAACAGCTTCCTGGATAATATGTGCTTATGTTACTGGTGATTTTTCCAAATACAATAGGAATAATTTGCCATAAATTGAGAAGATGCACCACTGGCAACACAGGGAATGTGGAGACTATGGCTATGTCCCTGGGTGTTCCGTGTCCTGTGTATTAAAGATGACATGAAAACACACAYTGCTGCTGGGCATAGAAATGAATCTTCTGAAGAATCATTCTAAAATTTATCAAAGTCTCCTAACTATTCTACTTTAAAAATTTTGCTCTGCATAAATKATCAGAGCCATGCCAAGCTATATACAAGCATTTTTACTGTGGCACACTGYCATTAAATTTTCTAGTTTTCCTACTATTTTGGGTGACTAATAAGGGAAGGAACCRATTGRATTGAAAAATCACAGGTATTTTTTTTCAAAACTAAATTTAAGTTGGCATAAAAATRAATGGAATGATCTGGTCATCCTGCACTGAAAAATAGCTATCAAGAAATGACAAAGCTTTAAAAAGTTGTCCTTGAAGTGATCAAACCATGAGTTCCCTATCATCAGACCTCATCCAGGTACTTTCTTCAGTCCCTGGAATTTGTTGTCTCCTGAGCTTATTCTATAGTTGGTGCTTAAAAAAAAAAATCTTTGGAACAATTCTGGCTAAATTAATTTTTTTCTTATTTTAAATCTCATGTAACGAACTTGCCATACAATAATTTAAAATGATACCTCAAGACACCGTGGCCAAGAGACTCTTTGCATTAATGAATAGAATTTGAGCTGGAAAGCAACTAGACAAAACTGAGATCTAGTTCATCTCCACATCCCAGGAGAYGGGAATCCAGGAAGTCCTCTGCAGTGCTAGGTAGGTGTGTGAAACAGATTTACGTCACCACCCGAGATGGCCCAGCTAACTAGTGGCAGGGGCAGTTCTAGACACCCAGAAGTTCTCCCTCAGTCCATCACCCACCTCAGATGGTTCYGGGTGTCCTGAGAGGTTGAGCTAGATCCCATGTCCTTTCCATGTCCTCCTCAGGTTGATAGCTAACACCCCACTGAAGGTAGAGAATTCAGGTTAGAGAGAGAACATTATGGAGGGCATTGTCAGGGTAACAAGAGTTTTGCCAGTTCTGGCCCTGTTGTCCCTTTGTTACTCTTGTCCTATAGCTGGCCAGAAGAATAGATAGTAGGTCACAGGTGTATGGCTTGTCAGACAATGCAATACCTGATCTAGTATAATGATACTTGTGATTGAATTAGGCCCAAATTATGAGAGGGGTACCACCTATTACTCAATGACAGTTTTGATATAAAAAGTCAAGTGCACATCTTTCCACACTATTTTTTTAAAGATGAATTGTGTGATTTATTTCTCTCCCATCAATTTGTCAAAGAATATATTTTCTGATTCATATTCAATTGCATCTTTCCACACTATTTTTAATGTTTGTTGAAGACATTAAAATCTACATAACTGAGGCAATTCTCCTAATTATTTTGAGATAGGCATAAGGGAGAATTGAATGTTTACAAAGATTTTTCCCCCTATAGAATTATGTTGTGCCTCTACTGATCAGAGAGCTAGCAGAGATGTTAATTCAGAAGAAAATGGTAAGGTATCATTTCCTTTATCAAATTGATAGTATAAAGATGCTGCTCTATAAAGGAATTTGAAGTTTTGACTAATATACATATCATCTAAGGCTTAAAAATGGCAAGGGGGAATTGCAGAATAATATAGCAGAAAAACACAATYGGGCTTTTCTCGATGACTATAATTAAATGGGCTCTTCTTGCTTAAATGGTTGCTCTTCTAGTCTATTATTTTCAGAGGCAATATCAAATGGCACCATATATCTGAGGGTACTTCAATGTACTGTTTCTTATAAAAATATGAAACATGGAATTATATTGAAGTAGAAAGAGACAGAAAAAATAGAAAGCAGCAGACCATAGTTTCTGYCCTGATTTACTACTATTTTGCAGCCACTTATAGGTTCCTTAGCAACTGAAAATTCACTTACCAATTAGTTTGGCTATATATTTCTTTTTTATTGCATACATTTTATTATTTGTATATTCCACTAATCAGAATTTAAATTCGGTACAAAAGTGGGCTAAACTGGCTTTTACACTATTTAAAAACATCAAGCAGGGAGATTRAAATTGATATAAAATGTTTGACTTTGTAGCTAACCATCTGATTATAGATGCAAGTAATAGCTTAAAGTTCCTTATCCCCTTCCCCCTAATAAACCACTATCATTAAATAAGATAAAAATCGTTATTTTGACTTGAAACAACAGATATTTATAGTCCATTTTCTTGGTTCTAGTCYCTTTGTGAACAGCCAACTAGTACAGAAAATGAAGACAGACTGTGACAAGCATCCTTAATATCCAGTGATGTTGTCTGGCCTTTCTTCACTGCAGTCCCAATGATTTATCAGACCTGACAAATTCTACCACTGCAAAGACGTAACCATTCTCTCTTCCAGTGCTACAGTTTGAACATGTTCCCCAAAGTTCACATATTGGAAACTCAGTGACTAATGCAACACTGATAGGAGGTTGGGCCTACTAAGAGGTGACGGGATCGAGAGGATTCTGCTCCCATTGTGGGGATGGGTTCGTTATTGCCAAGAGTTGTTTGCTGTAAAGTGAGTTTGGCYTCTTTTTGCCCTCCTGCCTTCTGTCCTGGAATAATGCAGCAAAAAGTCTCACCCAGATGCAAACACCTTGATATTGGAATTCTCAGCATCTAGAACCATAAGAATTAAATTTCTGTTCTTTATAAATGACAGGTATTCTATTAYAGCAGCACAATAAAGAGGAAGACTTCTAGTATTCCATTGATTCAAGACAGAAGCTTCATTCACTGAACGCCACATCTACMTTACTATGAATGTCCAGATGCAAGGAATTCCAATACAGGAATCCCTAGAAAATAATTGTCATTCATTTACATACCTGTTTTAGTCGGCCCAGGAGGCTACAGTGAGTATCCACCAAGAACTCAAAAGGAATGTATTACTAGGAGTTGATTCGACATCTGATTCACTGTTAATGGGCAAAAGCAGGGAGTCACTTTAGTAAAAAGGTGGAAAACCAGGGCCTGGACCTAAGAAAGGCAATTTACTTGAAAATGCTCTAGTTTTACATAAATGGTTGTAGCAGAATAACAAACTAGATTTTAGTATGGTGAGTCTTGGGGACCCCCAAAGAGTACCAGTACCTCTAATACTATTTAGGGAAAAGGTACTGCCGACTTGAGAATTGACACACCTGGATTGTTATAATTGGCAACCTGGCTTGCAATATCCAGTGAACATGTAGCACCATGTTTGTCTTGGTGCTACACACACATGCCGGGCCAGGACCCTGCAAAGCTGAAGGCGACTGGAAGAGTCACTGAGCTCTGCTGGTTCACMTTTTGGCCTGGGATGATAGTTCTGAGCTGTCACAGTACCTGGGGCCATCAGCTGACCTTATGAGCATGAAATAAATGGATGCTCATTTACGTTTCCCTACTAAKACTGGTGCAAGTTTCTCTCATGACCAACTTCAATCCAGACCGTGCAGATAGGGATTCTGGGACATGTCTCTGCTGTTTAACCACACTGCAACAGTACAAAGCCTGCATATCATCCTGTACTGAACTCCTGTGTGATACACTGCCTCAGTGGTTAAAAATCCATGTTGGCATATAGCCTACATGTATGTCCATTAGGAATGTTTTCCTCTAAGTTCAAAGTGACTAATTGGTTATATCTAGAACATTGTTAATATTTTTAGCCATTAATGGTGAGTGCTGCAGGCTGCCTGGCCCCGGACCGAGGTGGCTAGCTGAGCTCCGCTGCTGCCGCACCCCTGCTGAGCGCTTCCCTGCTGGGCTGTCAGTGCACCGCTTGCAATCTTGCAACCCGGTTGGGCACAAAAACACAAGCCAGTCAAACTGAGACAAAGTTTTATTTAGTGAGAGGCTAACAAGTGGGTCCACCACGTGTGTTCTACCTGAGGGGGGGGGGCTCCACTTCCCCCGGAACACCCTCCTACCATCCTTTCCCAACCAATGGGAACTCTCCCATTATAAGAATGAGTAACCTGAGTCCCGAAACGGGCCCAGATAAACAGCAGGAGATCAATTACCATATGAATGTAATTTAACATAATCATAATCTGAATTGCTGGCTGGCAGTCACTAAACCCAAAGGTGCCTGTATCAATATTTTTGCTGTGGCTCCTAGCAGGTGAGTTGATAAAATTTAACTCATAAAATACTACCTTTTCCCTAAATAGTATTAGAGATACTGGTACTCTTTGGGGGGCCCCCAAAACTCACCATACTAAATCTAGTTGGTTATCAGTAAAAATCATTTTACCAACATGTCATAATTCCCATGGAGCATAATTGCTCTGAGGGTACATTCTATAAGTTTTATGCATTAAGAAGCAATATGAATGAAATAACAAGTATTCATTTACTTTTTAACATCAGAATTTAAGAAATTCTTGCATTCATTGGTTCTTCTAACATAAAAAATGAAACTTTTGTCCTTAAAAGCATTTCTTTTTTAGTTTCAGGGATTGAACTCARGGACACTCAACCACTGAGCCACATCCCCAGCCCTATTTTGTATTTTATTTAGAGACAAGGTCTCACTGAATTGCTTAGCCCCTCACCGTTGCTGAGGTTGGCTTTGAACTCGAGATCCTCCTGTCTCAGCTTCCCAAGCTTCTGGGATTACAGGTGTGTGCCAGGTGCAGTGGTAATCTTCTATAATTTTCTAATTATCTTGTTTAAACTGTTCTTCATATCTTGTAAATGTTCTTAAAATGTTGCTCTTGAAAACAACTGAGTTTTTGGCCATAAAATGACCCCTTCCTTTTCCATTAGTTTCCTTTATAAGAAGAAATTGCTTATTCTTCATGAACCTAAAAAAAACAATGTTGGTATTTTCTATGAAGTTCCAGTGACTTTCCCCAGTGAAGCACACGCTCAGACCATGCCAAGTCCTCTCAGAGGTAAGTAGGTCTTAGTCAGCTCTTCAAAAGAGGCAGGGAATTGAGGCAGWTATCTGCATTACAGAAAGCAGACACATTCTATATTCACTCCAAGGGCACGGTCACTGTTTTCTGTCCCCATTCCCCACCGAGGGGGAAGATTCTGTAGCCACATCATCAATTTTCTCCACAGCCCTGATACACTGTTCTATCAGAAAATCTTTTCCTTATGCGTATATAGCAGTTGAGGGATTTCTAGGCTTTTCTTCTGTGAACAAGAAACAATTAGTCATTGCACTGCCAAGAAAGATTTTCATATTCATCTCTGGCCTTTCAGGGGCCCTTTTTGCTTCATTCTTTGTTAGAAATAACTCCAACAAAGTCAAATACACGGCATCCGTTTTGGATGCCCTTCAAGCTCTTGCAGCTGAGTGAAATTGGAGCACTTGTGAGGCACCTCCCTGAACAATTCCATTATATGGGGTCGCTGGGCAAGCTCTGCAGAGAAGACCCTAAATCCACTGCCATATACTTCTCAAATTGAGACCAGCATTCAAGCCACTTACAGCCTATATTTAGGACATATCCATGATAGCTTTTCAGACATCAATAAGAAATCTTGGTGTTGGCAATGACTCAAGCTTCTCATATTTAGAGCTAAGTAGATTCAGTGGAACAAACTTTTAGTCCCTCCTTCAAGAAATCCATTTGACCTCCCTTAAGGTAGTATTTATTGTTGCTAACCTTATCAACTCATCTTGTAGGGCTACTAGTAAATCATTTATCAGAAATAAATAGTACAGGATGCACCAAATTATTAAAATGAAAGATGGTGCCTGTCTGAGCTGGAAACTGTGCTAAATGCTTTACAGGCATTCTGTGAAGGGGATCTACTATCACATTATCCAATCTCTTAACTCATTTCTAAAGTCAGACCTCATTTAAAAATTATGTTCCTGGGAAAAATCTCAAAGCTGAGGCTTCCTTCTGAAAATTTAGTTCAAGGTTTTTTTGCACTGTGCCACATTGCCCATAAAATTAGGGTATTGGCTTCTACTACTGGATCAGAACAGTCACTTCATGAACCACAAAGATCCTTCTCTGTTTGAGGATAATTTTAGGAATATAAAGAGTACTAGAAAGAAGGACTCTTACCTCCTTCATTGCCCCAGTTTTAAACATCTTCCCCAGTCTCTGTGTTGATGTGATACAAAGTCATGCACTTGTCTACCATGAAAAGTATTCAATTAATTTTCAGCATATCCTTTAATGCTTTTCAAGTCTTTGTTCCATGGAGTCCTGGATATTATACCTGAATGACTTGAGGGCCCAGCCTAGCACTTGGAACCTGAAGTTAACCTGCAATTAAGAACTTTGAATTATAAATAGGGAAGCACATCCTAATATCTAGCCAAAAAGAATTTTTGTGAACATGGAAAGATTTTATTTGAACTTTACTTAATAAAGATTTTAAAAGAGAAAAACAAATACTAGTTACAGCAATGAAGTGAGACCTAACCTGACCTGCTGTAAGTTACAACAGAGTTGAATATCTGCTGTACTTTTTTTTCCCAAACACATTTGCTTTAATCTTCAGTTTATTGACTTGAGATTCTGCTATCTCTGCCCTTTCCTTCACTTGATTGAGCTCATGTTGCTTATACTTGGAAAGCTATTGATTGGCTTGTGCCTCATATGAAAATWAAAAAATACCCATCCCTGAATAGTTTCTTCTGCTATGACAAGAAAAAGGTGAAAAATCACCTTCCGAGTATTGAATGAATTTGGGTGTGATATATAGAAATTCAGACTTTGTAACAGGTACAAGATCCACTTTCATAGCTGCTATTCCCTGGAAATTCAGAACCCCTTGGGCACTTTCCATTAATTGCAAGTAGTAGAGCTTTCATAGACTTGCTATGTGCTAGAGCAAATAGTTATTTATAAGTCAGTTCAAGATTGTGTTCTGCCTTTGGGTCAAGTTATGAATCAACAGGTAATTTTAAGACAGTGTTATTTTAGTCCAAATCAATTTAGAACCCCTTATTAAATATTAGGCATAACCTACTCCTTCAGCAGGGGATTAATAACCAGACTCTATAAAGAACTCAACACCTAAAAAACACATAACCCAATTGACAAAAAGAAGAAACACAAATGGCCAACTCTATCAGGTAAACAAGGATCAAATCAGATTTCATCTCATGCCACTTAGAATGGCAATCGAGAAAACCAAAATTCTGAAGAGGATTTAAGGGAAAAGGAACATCCTTATATTGTTGGTGGGACTACAACATATAACCACTTTGGAAAGTAGTAYGGCTCAAAAGATTAGAAAGGGATCCAACTATTCCACTCCTTGGTATTTATCCCAAAGAACTAAAATCAGCATGGAATAGTGATACAGGCATATTAATGTTTATAGCAGCACAATAGCCAAATTATGGAGCTCAGGTATCCATCAATAGATACACAATGGAGTTTTACTTAGCCATAAAGAATGAAATAATGACACTTGCCAGTAAATGAATAGAGATGGAGAAACTTCCAAAGTCAAATGTTCTCTCTCTCATATAGAAGCCAGGGCAAAATAAGTGGGGGAAGTAGGGAGAACCCATGGAAATAAAGGGGAGATCAAGAGGGAAGGGAAATGTGAGGAACTGAAGAATGAAATTTATCAAATTATGCTATATACATATATGGATATACCACAGTGAATTCCATCTTAATTTATACCAATAAAGCACCAATTATAAAATAATAGAAGACCAGTAGAGAAACAAAATGGAGGAGGGAAAAGGAAGTACTAGGGACTGAAAATGGAACAAATCATGGTCTATGCATATATGATTGTCAGAATGAAACTATTATATAACTGCATGTACTATTAAAAAAACAATATATGGCACTTACCAATTACATTCCATGGAGCTGTAGATACTATTTCAAAGATGGTGGTTTTGTCCACAGCTATGTCCAGGCTTATCAGGAAAACGTATCATGAACTGTTGTGTTTATGCTCATCCAAAATGTGGGGATTTGGGAGGCCCCAGGGTGACAATCCTGCCCAAAATTGGTCATCCCTGCACAATACCCTGCTATTACTTCTCTCATCTGTGGGTATAACCACAAGGTTGAGGGAGCCTGCTCTGGCTTTCCAAAACAGCACAAATGTTTTCTAGGGATAATAGGCCTAAATTAAGAAAGACCAGAATGGGCAAACATTAACCTCAGCTGGCCCTCTCTGACAAGTTATTCTGCAAGCCTGGAGTCACCAATCTCCACTAACCAAAAGCAAAGGCTGGGGAATTCATGAGGCTGCAATTGTGCCAGGCACTTACCACCGCCTCCTCTTGTTGCTTGAAATTTTGCACTTTGAGCTGAAGTTTATTCGTCAGAGTCTGCATCTTGCTCAGTTTTCTTGTCTTCCTCTGCCTAAAATGCATAGGATTGTACTTGAAGGTAATTTGAAAGATTTGGCTGTCTACACTGGGAATGGCCTCATGTGAGAAAATGAGAGAAATTTTATTAAAAAGCATCAGAGTTGTTTTGGACTTAACTACTCACCCCAATTTTTGAGAAATTAAACTCAGCTCTGAGCAATGACAAAGCCATTCCTCTTGATCCACCCACAACACCCCCAGGCTTTGCTGAAGTGGAAGTTTAAGCCATTACATTCAATATAGTCTTCAGCCTCTCCATTCCAAACAAGCTAYGGGTGCCTGAGTTTCTCAATAGGAATGAAGTGCATTATTAAAAAGACCACATATGCAAAACGGAAAATCAATAACACTCCAATCAAAACAACTCATTCCTTGAACTTTCTAACTAACCCATAGGTTTGAATAATGAAACTATAGGAAAGGTAAATTTTCTGGATTCCAGCATGGGTATCAGCAGAGATAGGAAAACTGCATACGATGTGGCGACCTTAGTGTGCCTAGTCTCATTGCCTAGGTACAGTCCATGCTTGGGCTACAGAAAGGACAGCTGGGGAGGCAGTGCCTTACTGTGCTACATGGAGTCTTTGGTATTCTGAAAAAGCAGGGGAGAGGCAGGCAGGTGGACAGGACTCTTCATCCTCCCTACCACCTTCATACCTCCAATTCCCCCTTAAYTGGAGTGTTTCTATTTCAGAGCAGTTGAACTTTCCAAAGGAAGAGAATATCCCAACCTACTGAGGATTGAGAAATAAACTTAATATCTACCCCTGTTGCTTACATTTTTGGTACTGGCTTCATGTGTTTGTTTCTGTGACCAAATCCTGAGATACCCAACTTAAAAAGAGGAAAGGTTTATTTTTGCTCACAGTTTTGGAGATTTCAGTCCATGGTCAGTTGGCCTGTTGCTTTTGGGTCTATCGTGAGCCAGTGCATCATAGTACAAGCACATGGTAGAGAAACTGTTCACCTCATGGCTGCCAGAAGCAAAACGGAGAGGAAAGGTTTGGCCTCAGTAATTAGACTTTCTTCCACAAGGCTSTACTTCTTAAATGTTCTACCAACTCCCAATAACAACACAGGCCATGAACCAAGACTTTTACTTACAAGCCTTTGAAGGACATTCAAGATCCAAACTATAAGATTCTGCCCCTTTTACAAATAAAATGTGTTTAGTTAATGCCCAAGAGTCTGCCAAATCTTAACTTTCCARCATTGCTCAAAAGCTTAAGTACAAAGTCTCCTCTGAGACTTGAAGCAAGCCATTAGCTCTGAGCCCCTGTAAACATAAAGTTACAGACTTCCAAGATACAATGGCAAAGGGTAACTGTTCCAGAAGGAGGCAGAGGGGAATGGAAAGCAAGGATAAGACCAAAAGCAAGATGAAAACACAGCAGGGCAAACATCAAATCCAAAGTCTCTATGTCTGGCATCCTTGGCCATGGTGGCAGAATAGAACCTCTATAACCTTGCTGGTTGCACCTCATATGCACTCTCAGCTTCCCTCATGTGTAAGTTAGTTTGCCATCGCTGTTACAAAATACCCAAGATAAACAACTTAAAAGGAGGAAAGACGTTGGTTGCTTTGGAAGCCTGTGGCAAGGCAGTGAATGCATCATGGTGGGAGTGAGTGGGGGAGGAAGCTGTTCACTGCCTGGTAGCTGGGAAACAGAGTCAGGCTTCCAATGTCTTCTTTAATATCAAAACCCCAAATGACAGGACTTTCTTACATTAGGCCATTCCTCTTCAAGGTCCTATTATCTCTTAATAATAGCACCATGTCTTGGAGACTATGCCTTCAACACTTGAGCATATGGGGGTATGTTCAAGATTCAAGCAACAGCATTTTACTTTTATCAATTATCAACTCCTTTGGTTCCACACTTACTTTCCCCTATCTCCCCCAAACCCTCCCACTGCAACAGGCTCATCACTCCCTATTTTCCCACAGCTCCCTGCTTATGCCCTTCTCTATGGTTTTAGCCAAGCTGTTTGCATCACCTGGAATCTGACAGTAGAAAATTACTCATTTGAAGCTTACTGAGGCAAAGATGAATACATAGGAATCAACCTGGTTGAGGAGCTAAAACCATGTTTTAAGTAAAATATCTTTTATGAAATTTAAAGATTCATAGAATTATGTTTACAGTAAACTCTAAAATCAACATGGGGTTAATTGATAATAACAATTCGGGAGGGAGAGAGGTGATAATGAGGCCACATATAAGAGAGGTGAATTAAAGTAGTTGCTGATGTTGATGACGCTCCTCCCACTTTGGAAGGCAAAGCCTTTGATGTTAGACCTAGACTCACATCATAGCTCTAGGCCAATAAATAACTATGGTGGCCATAATTGTATATTGGATGTCCCTTCCAGAAAAGCTGTGAAAAGTGCAACCTCCAACTACAGCATCTTTGGATCTGCCATAGCATTGACACTGAGGCCACAAGGTCCTTATTTTGTAATATATGTGTGTAAGGATTAAGGAATAGCTACACATAGGTTCCTGGATGTTAGAGGTAATAAAAGGTAAAATGGAGCTAGAGAGTGAGGGGCAGGGAAATTGTCTTTACCTTCTACAACAGTTACAGTTTCTCATCTTATGTTTTGCTTTATTGCACATCTTTCTAGGTACTAGCTTTCTAGCATTGTTTCCAAATGGCAGAGGAACATAAAGGAAAAGATAAAGGTACAGTGGGGGAAATCATAGCACCATTATGGAATAAAGTTACACTTGATGCCCTATTCAGTACATGGTTATAAAATCTCCCCAGAGGATTTTACCAGGAAAAGAAAACCATATTTGTGTCCTTTTGAGAGGGACGTTTTTCAATGGGTACCTATTAATGGGCTATCACAAAACACCATGCCTCATTCTGATGGGCATTTTGATGTTTAATAAAGATGAAATAAATTGACAAAGTACCAACCTTGAATGTTTATGAACAAGATATGGATATCAAGAAATGTGGAGAGCCTGCTAGTATCACTCTCAAATTGAGGGGTCTAGCCCAATATCTTGCATGAAGTCAGGGCTCAGTAGGTATTATTGGATTTGATGATGGAATCCATTTATTTGCATAATTGACTGGATCCACTCTCAACATTGTGCAGACAYTTAGAAGAAATTACGAAATGCACCTCAAAACTAATATATGAGAAACGCTGAGATTATTGCAATGAAGGAACAAAGACAACACAATAGAATAGGAATATATTCCTTGGGACAATGAAAACCAAAAAATTATAGCTTTGGTGTTTTGTCCTATAATGGAATTGTTTAAAGATGAAAATAAGAATAATCAATGGGGAAATAAAAAAAAAACAAACCCAGACATTACTAACAAGTTGCATTATTTGACTTCATGGGTGGCTTCCCCACTCTGCTCTACAGAAGACTAGATTAGCAAACTTTCATGTTCCCAAGCTGTTTACTTTCTTAACTACACATATCACGGGCTCACTCTTCATTGGCTTTGATATACCTCACATTGTTTAAAGAAGTGTCAGACAAATGCATTTCATAAAAAGAACCACTTATTCAGTAATAAGAGCTGTTTGAGTAGCTCATTTCATCTTAATTAGCCCAAGATGATGTGTCTGAAGTGCTCTGCTTTCTTATCAACACTGTGTTTCCTGCTRCAAGGGAGGAAGACTTTGACGTTTCTAACAACTCAGCCTCAGGAATCAGAACCAAGACCCACAGATTCTGTGTTGGTACTGTCACAGGAGCTGTGAAAGTGGGCCCCTAAGATGAAATATTCCACTTTTCAATGCAATAAGCTGTATTTGTTCACTGTGAGAAGACTAGAAAGTAACTTTTGGCATCCGTGTTGTGTTCAACAACTGAAGTATGTCCACACACTGTGTGCCAGAAAGCTACTGGGCTTTAGAGTGTGGACCACAGAGCACCTTCTAGGTACTGCACTAGCAAGAATAGGGAAGGGAGGCACAGGCAAGAGTGGAGATGAGGATTACACCACTCCTTCCAATAAGAACTTGTAAGAAGTGTGCCCACATCATTTCAATTTTTTTGCTTGAGACCAATGTTAGTCAATAGGTGAGATTCAGAAAGCCTTAGGCCTTTCTAYAGTATTTGCTGTTAGCAATAGAGTCCTTAGTGGCTTTGAGTGTTTGTGCAAAACAGGAATGGAAATGTCCCCTGCTTCAATTAGCATCCCATTTAATCTGCTGGCTGGGTGGTCATTCAAGCCTTTGCCAGTCACTTCATTTACATGTTGTTCTCACTCAGCCTCTCATAGGAAGGTACACTTGTGAAAGTGCTGCAAACATTATGTGTGAAAAAATAAGGATGGTATAAATAGATTTCACTTCTAATTGCAACTTACYGCTCCCATCCCTGCAAGCTCTGTAGAAGCATCGACCTAAAATCATAAGAACAGATACGAACAGAGACCTGGCAGGTGAGTCAGTGCTGCTGAGGTAGATCAAAGATTCAGAGAAAACTGCAGGGGTCCCAGGAGGATTTTTCAGCCTGGAAGGAGCACACTTCTGCAAGGTCCAGCCCAACTATATACACAGGGAATGGTTCTCTGCAGTACCTGATAGGTCAGCTCTCTGATACACTGCTCCAGTCTGTGAGCTTCCCTGTAGGTCTCTGCATTGTGATGGAGCTGGCCCTCCAGTTCACCTTCCAGTTCATGAACCTGTAACCAAACCATGACCTCAGATCACATGCTGGCAGCAAGGCTGGTACAGTGTTTGCCAACAGGAGGATCAGTTGAAATAGTCGAGGAATGATGTGTCTGCTCTTTTTCTGGTAGAGATTAAACAGGGCAACCTCTCTGAGAAAACTCCCCTGCCAAATGTGAGCTGGTTGAACTGTGCACTCACAAAGGACTGTTAAGATTCTAAAGGACATGAAAGGCTAATCCACACAGAGGGGAGAAGCCTCCCTTCTTACATTACAAAAATCATTCTCATATCCACACGTGTATGCATGCATAAATGTCTGTAAGTACAGGAAGTGAGTTTATATAGCAGGCTTTGAGGATTCAGCCAATAAACTCCCTGTCCTTAAGCTTTTTCTATTCAGTTCCTACCCTGAGTCTCCATCACACATATGTCACACACAGTCCTACAGCCCTGCTTTGTGGGAGAGCTATAGAACAGAACTGCCTGACTCTTCAAACAGTATACAAGATTAGCATAACACACATTCAACAAGGTGCCTACCACACACCATACCCTGGTGCCAGGGATAAAGAAGTGAACAAAAAGGAAATCATTCCTGTTTCAGCATACAGTGTTATGAGGAGGTTCAGGAAAACCTAAGTAAAATACAGTATATGTGTGATGGTGTCAAGTGCTATGAAGAAAAGTAAGGAAGTATAGAGGTTAGAGAGTTGGTGGGGAAAGAGCATGGGCTGCTGCTTCTGCTGAGGGGCTCTTCTCCCAGACGTCCATGCTTTCCCTGTGGTCTCCCTGACTTAAATGCTACATTCTGCAAGAGGCTTCCTGATCACCATCTTAAAACTGCAAAGCTGAATGCCCTGAATGGCTCTGGTGAGATGGATCCCAGCTCTCCCTATCCTTGCTTCTTCCTGCCACTGGAACCACACTGACCCCCTTGTTCCTCCTAAGCTAGGTGCATTGAGAGACAGAAGGAGAGAAGGTCAACAGCTGTGATGGTTCCCTGGTGAGAAAGCCTGTTGTTACAAAATCACGGACACCTTTCCATTTCCATTCCTGCTATCTGGTTCTCTAGGAACTTTACACAATTCTGTCTATTGGCAGGAGAGATAACAGAGAACCTCCTCTGTACTTTTTTAAGGACTTTTAAAAAATGTTATTAAGATACCTCTGGGTGAAAAACTGCTTTATTAAAGCAAATCCTAGACTTGATATAATTTCACCAATAAATACTTACGTATTTCTAACAGGTAATGATGGTTGCTTTGGTTTGAGAGACTCCCAAAAAGTTCATGCACTGTGAACTTAATTCCAAAATTCATATACTAATGGTATTTAGATGTCAGGACTTTGAGAGGGAGGTTATTAAAGTTAAGTCATGAAGGTGAAGCCCCAAATACAGCATTACTGTAAGCAGAGAAAGAGACTTGTGTTAGCACGCTCAATCTGTCTCACCATGCAATGTCCTTTGCTACGTTATGATGCAGCAAGAAGGCCCACACACATGCCAGCACCATGCTCTTGGGGTTCTCAGCCTTCAGAATCATGTGCCAAAGAAATTTCTATATAAATTACCTGGTCTTAGGTATTTTGTTGTAGCAATGAAAAATTAATTCAAACAATGGTATTTTTATATCATATATCTATACACAATTAYATAAAATATGTGCTCAATTGAGGCAATGGATTTTAATTGAGTAAAAGAACAGGACACTGTTTTTGAATATARGTAACTGAAGTCATATGATGCACAAGGAACATATGCACATATATTTAATATATATTTAAATTAACCAGAATTCCTTATATCATCTGATTATTTAGGAAATCACTGCTACTTAATTATAACTGATTCTGGGTCACAACATTGAACAAATACCAAATGGAAATAAAATCTTGCAATCTTAAATTGGAGATAATTCCACTATTATTCATGTAGGTTTTAGGGAAATTTGGTTTTATGCCTATGAGCTTTTTTTCTTATACTAAAAATCTGGGTTCCTATGTATGTTATTGAATAAACAATTCTATTCGTATTATTGCTAATAGCAATATATTATAGTGCAATGTAAATTCAATTTGCTCTTTTACCCTTACATAATATGAATGATATATAAAACCTATGTTTAAAAGCCACTGGGAGTCTGAGACAGGAGAATTGTGAGTTCAAAGCCAGCCTCAGCAAAAGCAAAGCACTAAGCAACTCAGTGAGACCCTGTCTCTAAATAAAATACAAAATAGGGCTGGGGATGTGGGTCAGTGGTCGAGTATCCCCGAGTTCAAACCCTGGTACAAAAAAAAAGAAAAGAAAGAAAGAAAAAGCCACTGAGAATAACTCTTTTTGTGCATCTTTTATGTGGTCTGCTTGATATATAGTTATCTTCATTTGCTTCCATAGTGTTTAAATTTTGGGGACTTCTGGGCCTTTTTTTGCTTCACAAACGTGTTTTAATTATGAAGTATGTAAATGATTTAAATTATTATGCCATTAAAACAAGCAAATAAGTTAAATTCAGAATATATAGCTTTCTTTTCTCTGTTTTCTTCCTATAAGTAGCCATTTTCATTGGATTTTTAATTTATTCTGTCACCATTTCTTCAAAACATAAGTATGTGCATGTGTTCATATTCTCCCSCTCCTTGCGTAAGAGGGTTTTAACTCTCCACATCACCTTCACCTTTGGTCATGATTATACTGTTAATTGTGATCTCCAGGACAGATTTTATAGCTCTTTTTCATTCCCTTTTAATCAACACAATTGTATGAATGGCCTATAAATATGCATTAGTATTCTACTGTATGGATGTACAATGGAATTTGAACTATCACATTTCAGTTGAATATTCTTTCCATCTCTGTAGCTTTTGTCATATGACCTGTAGACATTAAAATTAATTCAACAATTTCACAGGTTCCATTTTTAAGCTATGGCTTTTTAAGCTCCCTGAAGGCAGATACTACCTCATTTCTGTCAGTCATTCCTATATCTGCACTGAAACTTTCTGGATCGTGGATTCCTACTTGTTAGGAAATGGGCATTTTCCACAGAGAAAACAACAGGAGCAGAGACATAGAAGTAAGACTGCTAAGGTGTGTTTGGATACARTGGACAACCCTCCTGTGGAGAGACTAGAGCTGCTGTGGTGAGTGGGAGAAGATGAATTCTCGCCTAGCACCAAGAGGAAAAGTTGAGATAAGATACTTTAAAAGATCTGCAAATGCTAAAACAAAAAGTGACAAGGGTGGGGACATCAATACTATACAATATTCCAGGACAATTAGGCCTTGAACTACCCAGGAAGAAAAGAACTGAGCTACACCAGTAGATAATTGATCTTCATATTTCTGCCAACAATCTTCAGTTTTAGTCTAACTGGATGCCATGCCTTGACTATGTACATGATCTCTTTCCACCATGTTCTCCAACCTCTACTGACCTTGAGTTTGTGAATGGTGGGGCAACAGATAGAAGTAGTGACGGGAGAGATTGGGATGAGCAGTGGTGGAACCAGATCAAAGATGAAGTACCACATCAACATTAGGACACAACATCTGTGCTGGAAAAAAAWTTAAAAAAGATCAATTGAGGCAATTGATTTAACTCAATTATTATTGAATAAAGTAGCTGATGTCACAAGGAACACAGACTATTTTTAAATCTCACTTCTCTAATTTTGCGATTCACTATCGGAAACAAGTTTAAGCTGCAGGAATTTGGCAGTAACAGATGCTCTCAGCACCAGTACTCTGGCACAAGGAAGGTTAACTGTGAATCTTACTCTTGGCTGTGGATGTTTATACAAGGGCTTGGGGTCCCAGTACGATTATTAAGAATTGTATCATGAATCTCTTAGTGCCTTTAATGTAAGAATACAATACTGCTAGCCAAAGCTTCTCCATCTGATTACCAACCATCTGTAGAATTTAAGTATGAGATATCTCTGCAGAGGGTGAGGGCAATGAGAGTTATAGAGGCAACCCTGGGCTCTGCTATGTAGRGTTGGGGCTCACAGCTACACTGTTGGAGAATTGAAGGGTGAAGAGGGAGAAGARGTAGTGGGCTCACTTTTCAGCATTATCAGGAAAGTCCTATAAAGGAAAGGTTAATCAGACAGTATCTTCATAAGGTGTGACTGTAAACATTTACCAAGCAGGAAGAAAAACTTTTTGTTCCTTTTTAAGTATGTGGGTTTTCACACATATTCTTTTCTCTTGCCATCAAACATCTTTGAGTTTTCACATGCTTCATTTCTTTTTTTCTTTTTAGGGGGGTGGTGGTGGGGTGATTACCAGAGATTGAACTCAGGGGCACTCGACCACTGAGCCAAATCCCCAGCCCTATTTTGTATTTTATTTAGAGAAGGTCTCACTGAATTGCCTAGCTTCTCACTTTTGGTGAGGCTGGCTTTGAACTCGTGATCCTCCTATCTCAGTCTCCTGAGCCACTGGGATTACAGGCATGCACCACTGTGCCTGGCTTCTCATACTTCATTTCTACCTAAAAGCAGAAGTACCTTCCTTGATAAAAAATGGATGAGTGATAGGTAAACTCCATTCCAGAAGGCTGGAYTCCACAATGGCCTAATGGCTGAATTTTATAACCAAAGTTTTATTTAGTTCTCCACATTGTAAATAACAATTTTTTATCTCTCTTCAATTTTAAAATGACTAATATAAAATCTAATTGAAGGTCCCAGTTCTCACAGTTTTAAGTAAGGAATTAACCTCCATTCACATAGCAGAATCAGGGTAACTACATGTTGTTGTTGCACACTTGATGAGCTGAGACAAAGCCCTTGACACTGAAGGATGAGTAGAAACTAAAATAAAGCCCAAGCCCCACTTAGCAAGCTCTGAGACCCAGAAACTAGGTCCTCTTACATAAAATCTTGACCCTCTACCCTTCCTCCTCTAATATCTTTTATTCAGTGGTACTTCCACTTCCCATGCCCTTTGAGAGAATTTTACATCAGCCCTGAGGGGGTGCCCTGCAGATGGCCTTTATCCAGTTCTCACAAGGGTACATTGAGGCTGGCAGATTAAGTGGCATTTAGGAGAAGCACCAACAACAAAAAAATTAAATTTGCATTATAAAGAGGGCATACCAGCCCTGTAGCTCTCTTTGCAAGCCTGACTYTTCTACCTAAGCAGGGGTGTGTAGTGTAAAAACATCAGTGACTTCAGCACTGTTTTCAGATCCTCATCATAAAAYGATTATAGGCCCCAGAAAAAAAAAATAGTTATTTGCAGGGAACCATAGGAAGAATGGTTTCTGGAAATAGATATATTGATTCACAAGCAGAAAATGTCTAAACTTTTTTTTAAAAAGGCTCTTGCTATCACAAGATTCTGCTTATGATAATTCAACTGCTCCTTTTTATTGCCAGGGTAGGTAGGAAGGGAGGAGGTAATTGAACTAACTGTTCAAGTTGAGCACAGGGAGGCAGAGGGGTCACCTAACCTCCTCCTGATGCTGCGGGGAATCAATGGAATCTTTTTTGACTGCAGATGGCCCCTGCCTCTGGGCTCCTGCTCCAGTGAACCCTGGATCACAGGACTGAGATGACAAGTAATAGGCCCACCTCCATGGCTGCCTTCCTGGTCTTCTCTTCTGCATTTGACACATCTGCATCATCTCTCCTTCTTTCTGAAACATCAGCCTCCAGATTCTTCTTCTGGCTGAGGAGGCTTGTGTTCTGAGGAAAAGCAGCATTCCTGTTGGCAAGCTGAAACCCCAAGACAAATGCAAGCTGGTCTGTTCAGGACATGCAGTGGGAGGCAGCTCAGACCAGGAGCAAATTTTATCATAGTCATCCACACAGCCAAGCAAGACCTCCAACCCCAGATGATTTGCCATCCAGGGCACACTTGAATGGAAGGGATTTCATCAATGTAGAGGTTCAAGACTAGAGATGGTAGCCTCCATCAGAAAGGAGAAATGCATCCCCGATAACATGGGTTTGGCTGTCAACTTGTTGAGGAATGTTTTCCTGCCTTTTGCTTTTCACTGTGATAAAGAAAAACATCTAAGAGTGAAATCAGGGTCACCTAAAAGTATCTGGGGATCAGGGGCTTGGAGAATAAAAATCACGATACCCGGCATGCCATTTCATCACAGAAGAAGAAGAAATTATTCTTTATCCACCTGCTTCCCTGTTCCACTCTACAGTGAGGAGGAGGAGGGAAAAGTAGTTCACAAAAGTCTCAGTCCCCAGCCCTTAGGAACCCTCATTAAAGGGAGGGAGCTTTGTGCTCTGCACCTGGTGCTGCCCTAATTCTTTTTTGCCTGAGTTGTGACACTGGAGGCCAAATCTCCCCTTGCTGCATCTGTTCTGTGTTTGAGGCACAGCTTTTCAGAGGGTGTGAAACCTTAGTACAGAGAGTGTATAAAAGGCACAGTCTTTCGATTTTTCGGTTCTCCTTTCATTTCGTCCTTTCACTTTCCTCTAGCTAGAGCCTCTCTCAGTGGCAGGGTTAAGGGTTGCAAATAGACATTCCAGCCACACAGGTGCATGGCAGGAAGCATCATCAAGACTGCCCCTCCTGTCCTGAGGACAACCAGGCCCTATGCATCCATGATTTCCATGGCCATGAGCATAGCTGGGAACGGGTAAGTGTATTTTCCTAGAGGGTTTTCTGGATACTCACTGCACATGACTCCACAGGAACTCTTTGTAAAGGAAGGTACACATATGAACACTGATTTGTTTGCACATTGAATAATTTAAAATCAACCAGGGAGATGTTTAAAACCTTTACAAGTAGAATGTCTCTGACTGGTTCTGTTTTAGTAGGAAAGAGGTTAGGGAGTATTGTGCAGGAGGGTCATTCACAGCTCAGGTTTGCAAAGAGGGCATATGCTATCAACAAAGATAAGATTCAGCTCACGTTTGTTCTAAGCAGGATAATATTAAAGGATAGTGCTCAGGACCAGGAGGAGCACTTGAGAGCTTGTCTGATTCCTGGGTACCACAGCAAAGCTTCCAATTCAGTAGGTGTGCAGCATCTGAGAACTGGCACTTTTCTATTAGTGACTCTCACCACCTAAGTTTCAGAAAAATCTGCCTTGTACACTCAGTCTCCAGAGCCTTATTTTAATTTTTCCCCAAATCCTCCCTTCCTTTGTCCTTACCCCCGACCACCCTTTGGTTGATGTCTTCTTTATGTCATGGTAGTTTTTCATYATACTGGGACCMATATAGTACAGTGTCAGTTTAAACATGCATGGCATGTGATTTATCACCAATAGTTATTAAGTACTGTAGACAATGGATGATTTACTTTTTWAAAAAATTCAATATTCCACAATATAAGAATTCACTCAACACAAATCGGTGTAAATATACTTTGTATACAACCAGAGATATGAAAAATTGTGCTGTATATGTGTAACATGAGTTGTAATACATTCTCTGTCATATATAAAAAAATTAATAAAGTTTTTTTCTAAAAGTAACCATTTAATTTTTTCACTATAATTTCAAGGATCAGGAAGTATTTTATCATAAATTATTAAAAACTAATGTTATAAACTTCAAAAAAAATTCAACTCATTTTGGTTATAAGCTTTCTTGAGAAAGAAAATGTTCAAGTGAATTAGTCTGCTGTGAATTATGCATAACTTATGGCCTATTTGTTCTATACCCCATGGTACCCAAAGGGACTGTATCACCCACATGAATGCAAAAGTCAAACTGTAGGTACAAACTACTGCCAACACCTTTCAGCAGAAATAATTCCAGTTGACACATTATTTTAATATACTCACTGCAGGTACAATAAAGGGCAATTCTTTCTGATATGGGATTATCCAGCACCTTGAAGGAGTTTTAGTATCTCTGGACCCTGCCACTAAATGTATGTGGTACTTTCCAGTCACCATGGCAACTAAAACGAC